ATAGTGTAAAATAAGTTCTTTATTTACACAGCAATATGGAACCACTCATTAATTTTTAAAGATATGATACATTTTTGACTTTAAAAAGGTTAATTTGGGTAGAATAAACAATGGGGATTGAAATGTGGAGAATTTGGTCATGTGAGGAACCACCCAGACGGCTTCAAAGCTCAGGGGCATCTAAGGACATCTGAGGGCCTGACCCTACTTGTTTAGTGCAGGCACACAGTGGGATACAGTTATGTCACATGACCTAGCACAGGTAAACATGCATGTGCTGGTTATGGCACTATGTAAGAATGTAAATATGAGATAACAGCTTGTATAAGAATTATGCAATAAAGACACAGGCAGCTCTTGCTCTTGCTCTTGTGCTCTTGTGCTCCACACGGCTCCACACTGCCTGCTGTTGTTGCTTATGTCTCACACACGTGTTCTTTCACCTTGGTACCTCACCTGTGAAAATGTCCCTTGGGCTCCATAGGAACTTCAGTTGGAAAATTTATAAAATTCCACAGACACAACCACAAGTTGGAACCACTAGAGAGTAAATTCCATGAGGGCAGGGTTTTTATATGTTTTACTCACTACTATCTTCAATATGTAGACTAGTATTTAGAACATAATAGTTAATAAGCAGTTTTTAATAAATCAGTACAGTTATCTAACTGTATAATCACGAATTAAAGGAAGGATAAGCCTGGAAATGTAAAGGACAGAAAGAAGGAGAGACAAAAAAGAGAAAGAGACATACAGACAGACAGACAGAGAGGGAGAGAGAGAATAAAAAGAAAGCAATATGGGCAGATGAATAAAAAATATGAACTTTGACAACATAAGCAAAAGGATTCCCAGAGTTAAAAACACAGCTGGAAAGAATCCTCCCTCCTCTTGACCACCAATCTTCCCTACCTCATCAACACAATCTTAAGATAGCAGTTTCAAAACAGAGGCTGGAATTAGAACAGTTATCCACCTACACCAAGGAGACTGTGTTAGTTTTCCAAGGGTACCATAACAAAATACCACAGACAAGATGGGTTAAACATAGAAATTTATTTTTTACAGTTCTAGAGCCAGCAATTCAACATCAAAGCATCAAAAAATTTAGTTTTCTCTGAAGTATTTGTCTCCTTACCTTGAAGTTGTCTATGTTCTTGGATCCTCGCGTTTTTTCTCTGTGTGTAGGTACCTTCTGTGTCCAAATTTCTTCTTTTTAGAAGGATACTCTTCAAACTTGGGTTAGGTCCTACCCTAATGACCTCATTTTAATTTAATCTCCTTTTAAAGGAGATTAAGTCCCTATCTCCAAATACGATCACATCCAAAATACTTGTCAGTGCATCTCTTTGAAGAAGGCAAATTTCAGCTCATAAAAAGGCTATCAGAATAACAAATGCAACAAAGTCCTTACCTCTGTTTAGTTCAGGTCTCAAAACATTTTCATTTTGGCCTCCATTGGATATGGCAGTTCAGTAACCTTATGAGAGATCTAAAAGTCCCCAGTTGCCCAGGACCTTTCACCTTATCCAATAAAATGGCTCGTCACCCACAATATCCTCTATATCTCCTCTACAGATCTTTCCTTTTCCTTCCTTCCCTACTGAAATCTGAGGATAACTGCTTCTCCAGAAGCCCTCTAAATTAGAGGCTATTTCTTCTTGCTCACCCAGTATCCCACTAGACCTGGACGTACCTTGATTGTTTTCTTTCTGTCTTACTGCCTGTTCTAGAACCTATTTATGTTGGTCCACTTTTCATTGCTGTGACAGAAATACTTGACACAAACAGCTGAAAGGGGGAAAAGTGTGTTTTGGCTCACGCCATCAGAAGTTTCTGTCTATGGTCAGCCAGTTCCATTGGTTTAGGCGTGTGATGAGGCAAAACCATCGTGACAGCAGAAACCTGCTCAACTCCTGGCAACCAAGAAGCAGAGTTAGAGACTAGTGCCGGAGAAGTGGGACCAGGGACCAGATATAGTCCCCAAAGTCAGGCCAGCATGACCCACTTCCTTCATTTCTACTGCATAGCAGCCTCATTTGTACTTGCTAGGTAATATTCCAAACCTGGCTGACACACTATTAATTATACATATTGCCCAGATCAATTACTTTCCTATGTCATAATGCTCTAGGTGCACACCTTTTCTCTTAAACCTGCAAGGTCATTTAGTCTGTTTTACTTTTAGTCTCTTAGACTGTTGAAAAAGTTAAAGCACTGAAGAGAGGACTTCCATGTCTTACCTTTTCCAAGTCTATTAAACTGTGCATTTCTGCTAAGACTAACATTTCTAAGGGGTACTTCATCCCTTGGTGATATAACACCCAGAAGAGAACTGCTGAAGCACAAACATGACATCGGGCAGTTTGAGGAGTTTTCTATTGTTCTAGGTGTTACTGTTTAGTTTCTGGATGGTGAGCAGATCTGAGGAGTCCAAAGGAGAAGAAATTAGTGAAGGTGACAATGGAAACATTCAAGGGGCTCAGAACAGCCACTGTTTACAAACTAGGCTGAAAGTATCGGAGATAGTTTGAAAGTTTGTCTCCTCTAAAACTCATGTTCAAATGTAATTGTCAATATCATAGTGTTGGGAGGTGGGGCCTTTTAGACATAATCAGGCCATAAAGGCTCTATCCTCTTGAGCAGGTCCAATGCTCTTTAAAAGGGGCATTTAGGATTGAGTCTTCTCTATTGTCTTTCAGCCACGTAATGCTAGCATCACCTATGATACAGCAAAAAGGCACCTGCCAGATTTCACTGCCTTGATATCGGGCTTCTACACTTTAGAAGTATGAAGTAGTGAATGTATGTTATTTATAAATTATAGTCTTGGATATTTTGTCATACCAGCACAAACCTTCTAATGCAACAAATTAATGTCTTAGATATCATTATGACTGCGGTTGTGTCTTATACATATACTGAAAATGAATCCAGATTAGACCTGATTCCAGGCAGCTTTCATGGTGCTGGGACAACTAAAAAGGAGGACAAGTTTATTTTGGCTTACAGTTCAATGGGTTCAGTCACTGGTATGCTGGCTCCAAAGCAGAAACAGAATGGGGGAAGGGCCTAGCAAAGGAAAGCTGCTCACATCATGGCAGCCTGCAAGATTAGGAAAGGAGAAACCAGGGATAAAAGTACACCCTTCCAGGTCACATCCCTAGTGAACCACTGCCTTTGACCAGGCTCCATTTCCAAATAGCCCAATGGGGTATGTACTTATGATGAACTAATCCACGGGTTAGTATACTGCCTTTCATCCAATCACCATGGAAAAATTCTACCACTGAATACATGAGACTTTGGAGGGATATTTTCAATCTAAACCATACATATGTATGTTGTAATAAATCTCTATGACATTTTACTCATGCACATACATACGTAAATGCACATTTATTAGCAAGTAGATACAAAAAAATCGTAAAACCTGTTCTGAAAACTTGATAAAATCCCAGTTCCTCATCCTTTTATGGACTTTGACTACACAGTCAATAAAAGATTTGTGCAAACACAGACATTAATTTGGAGTTACCCCACGGGGACCATTGCAAAAACTGAAATTTGAAAGTCTCCCTATGTTTTTAACCCCATTGAAACAAGAGTATGGAATTTCTTTAAATCATTTCAGTGAATAGTCATATCCTCATATATTTCAAATACTTCACATTTTCTGACTGAAAACTCATTTCTAACATACATAAAGCAATGTAAAATTTCCCTTGGAAATCAAAGATTTTTAAAAAATAGCTTTAGCTCTTATTATAGCTTCCTTTACAGTATAATTTTCTTGCAGAATTTTGTCTTGTAACATCTACAGTCTGTACTCCTAATTAGGATACTGACATCCTTAGATGGGACACTGACACTAACCATACACATGTATACACACACACACACCTCCCATTTTCCAGAACTTTAAGTGTTAGAGTATTTCAGAGAGTATTCCAGTACTCCAACTTCTACTTCTTAACTTTGGAGAATTTGTTCAGTCTGTTTAATTGTCAAATCTTAGTGTAAATGAAACTGCTATCATAGAATTATTTTCACTGAAAAGTTGCCAATTCTTATGATTCAACCTAGTACCCTTGTGAACTGATATTCTCTGAAGAAGCTACATTTATATTAAAAATCCTGCAGACTGCTCAACTTTAACTATATAATTTTGACTATGGAAACATGGGATGTTGTGGGTGGAGATCTAAAATTGTCTTGGGCTCTTTTATAGACATTTACCTTAACTTTTGTATCTTACAGAACATTCTCATGATTATTATGTACACATCTTGGAACATATCAGTAAGCTTAACAGATTTTGGGCCTCCATCAACCCAAAGCTAAGAATGTTATAACATCTGAAACCTGTAGAAGAAACTTCTTTCTCTTGCTATAGCCTGCTTACCTGATGCTCCGGCCAATGTAATTGGTAAATACATTGAATTATAATTTTCTTTTGCTCTGTGAGTATAAAAGTGCTTGTAGCTTCTTCCACATGTAGCATGTTATTCGAGGTATCTTGCATCTGAGTTATGATCAGTCATATCCAACTCAGAAAATATTATTTTTATTTATTTTCATGCAGTTATTTTAAATTGACACTCTGACAATTCTGAAATTCATTTCTTCTCAACCAAAACTCTCCTGAATTCTATATTCATGAGTTCAGTTGATTACTTTTCACATTCATTTCAATATTTAACTGGCATTTATGCACCAATGACCATCTCTTTATTTCTTCTCTTACTCTTCTGCCTATCTCACCTGTTAGAAAACACCTACTTTCACAAGTTATTGCATCCAAGACATATGTTTCTCTTTCACACCTGAAATCCACCTACTAGTACCATTAGCCCACTTTTTTTATATATATATTTTCATAGTTTACTGCATTACTTAATGAAAAGAAGACTGCAGTGGGCACTGGTTTCCACAACACTGTTGGGCATGACATGAGAACAAGCCAAGTTGGGTGTGGTGGTGCACACCTGTGATCTCAACACTGTGTGCTCCAGCCCAGCCTGGGCAATTTAGTGAATTGAACAATTTTGTGCCACTGATAAACTATAATGACTAAATTTCATTCTTTCTCTACTACCACCATGGTACAAATCCCCATCATCTCTCATTTGGATTTGCATCACAGCTTCCCTTTCAGATTTCGTATTTCTTCCCTAGTTCTCTTAAACTTTATTATTTACCCAACAGCCAAAGTAACTGAAGATGTGGCACAACAGTACCCTGTTGATATTGTGTCTTCTTCAGAATACAACCCAATGTGTCATCATAATCTATTAGTCTATTAACATTACCCCTCCCTGCTTTGACCTCTTATCTTTTCTTCCTTGCATTCCCTCACTCACTGTCCTGCCAGCACACTGATGTTCCTTGAATAAGCTACACATATTCTTGCATCAGAGCCTTTTCACTTCACCAATCCCTGTGTCTAGTAAGCAACCCCTTCCAGTAACCATAAAATGCACTCCCCAAGTTTCATTCACATATCTGCTTAAATATTACTTTTTCAGACCTTCCCTGTTCTTATACATACAAATGACTCAAACTCTATCCCTCTATACAGTGCCCATTCTTTCTGTTGTGCAGTTCGGTGGTTCCTGCAGACACTGTATGTTTATATGTTTGCTTTGCTCTCCAGTCTACCACAAGCGAAGAGGTAAGAAGTGGTCTGACTGTTCCTTTGCTCTGTGACAGCCAGAAGGGAACATGATTCAACCGACAGGTGTGCTACCTTTCTCCCTTGCTTCCTTTCCCTCACCCTTGATCCCTGGAGCAAGTTGGGCTGGAGTCAGTTGTCTTTCCACTACCCGGGGTTACATCACAACATATCTCAGACTGCTCTGACATGAGGCACAGCTAACCTGGCAGGTAAGTGCTACTCCCTCGTTGCAGCTGCTTTGGACGCTGCTGCAGCTTCTCTGGAGAAGCTGCCAAGGACCCCGCCTCCCCCGACAAGCACAGATCAAGAGTGATCTGGGCTTGTTCTTTGCAACCCTGAATCCTCAAATCCCCAGCAGCCATGATTAACATGGCCAGCTTTCCTGGGGAGTCCCTGAACAAGGGCAGTTTCGACTTCAGTGCCATCATTTTTCGAATGATGCGGCAGCTGTTGGTGAAGCAGCTGCCTATCCCAGTGTTGCCAAATTGTTGCCATGACAGCTGTGGCTGCCTGGGATGCCTCGCATCTATTCTGAAAGAGTTTTACCCTGATTGCAGCAGGCTTGGTTTTGAAACAAACTGCAGAGTTGAATTTTGATCAATGAGTAGGTTTGAATCAATAGTGTTGAATTTAGACCCATCAGCAGGCTCAAATTTGGACCAATTACAGGACTTCTGCTGCTGTATAAGTGGCCTCCTCTTGCACTCCTCTGGTTGGTCTAGGACAGTGGTGGTGAACTTATGGCACAGCAGACTGTTTGTATCTTTGAAAGCTCTAAAAGATTCGCCATGCAAGGTCGTGAGTTTGGTTCCTGGTACCGGAGAAAAAACAAAAACAAACAAACAAACAAAAAAAAACAAATAAAAGATTCGCCATCACTGGTCTAGGATGAGTCTCTCTGATGTACTCACATCCCTGTGAGAAAGGACAGGCTTGTTCAAGTAAAATTTCACTCTGGTGATCCTGAAAATCTACTCATGATTTATTTCTAGAGTAGTGTAGGCTCAGAAGGTCCTATAAATTTCCTTGGACTTCCAGATACTGTGGTCAGAGTAGTCACTTTAAAAAAGGCTATAAAAAATTAAGGCTGTTAGCCCTAAAGCACTCCCAAAATTGGCAGCAGAAATTGGTGATAGAAATTGATAGAGATCAGCAGGTAAAAACTGGTGGTACCCGGCAGTGGTGGTAACTGGGAACATCAATCAGCCACAACTGACAATCGCTGGCATCGACCAGTGGCATGTGGCAAAAACCACCAGGAATAACTGGCAGTGGCCAGTGATGTTTGAAAGGAATTAGCAGAGACCAGCAGAAAATGTGAACAAGGGTTCGGAAAGATGCCAAGGGTCAACTGTAGCTACTGAGGAACTGATGGACATGGCCTAGAGTCCCAGAACTGTAACACTAAGGATCCAGAGCTATAGGCACTTGAAGTCCCAGAGCCATAATATAGCAAAAAATACCTCCCCCCTCCACCAGTATACTTTAGTTTGTTAGTTGCCCATGTAATAGTTCCTGTTACAGATCTGTATATTAAAAGGTGTTACACTAAGCAGGCAAGGACATACACAGTGTATTACGAGCAGTCATTATATACACTATTAAAATAAACTATATGATCTTAATGAGGTAACAGCAAGGAAAATCACAGTAAACAAATAGAAACTATGGAAAAATCAGTGACCAGATAAAGAATCCTAGCAGATGAAAACAAAAGCCAGTGGAAATTCTACAACCGACAAACACAGTACTTGAAGTGCAAAAAACCACTAGATGAGTTCAGTAACTTTAGTAGGACATTAGATATGGCAATATGAAGAGTCAATGAGTTTGAGGACAGGTAAATAGAAATTATTTAGTCTAAGAAACAGAAAACAATTCCAAAAAAACAAAAAGAGCTCTTTTGGACACAGTAGTACACATCTATAGTACCAGCTATTCAGAAGGCCAACATGGAAATGTTATCTGAGCCCAGAAGTTCATGGTCAACCTGGAAATATAACAAGACACCATCTTTAAAACAAAAACAGTCTTAGATATAATATTACCTTGTTTACAATACATGTATATCTTGGTTACTTTTCTCTCATTGCTGGGACAAAATACTTGACACTCAAAATTAAGGAAGGAAAGGTTTATTTCGCTTAGAGTTTGTGGAGGTTTCAGTCCATACTTGGCAGGTTACAAGGCAGAGTGGCACATGGCAGAGGGCTACAGCTCATGGCGGCAGAACACAGCCAAAACAATAAACACAAAAGGGGAGGAATGGACCCAAGCAGCCTCTTCCTTTCCCTTACATATGCGAACTATCCACCCCAGGGCGGGTGTAGCTCTCATACCCATAATCAATCAAACTCTAAAAGCCTGCCCCATGACCGCATGAGGTTTTGGGGGGACACACAGACACAAACCATAACACTGCATAAGAACAGGGTGGGAGGTAAGAAACAGAAAGGAATCATGCATAAAAATTGTGAAAATAATGATTTGAATTTCCCCAAATTTCATTTCAAAATATCAAACTACATCCCCCCAAAATTCAGGAAACTCCAAAAGGAGAAATGCAAAGGAAAAGATCCTAGGTGATGCTAGCAAAAATGTCGACAACAGACAAAGAAAAGGTCTTCAAGGCATCTAAAAAAAGCACATGATATACAAGAAAATACTCATATAAATGATGACAGACTTCTAATCAGAAACAATACATGCAATAATATAATACTTATCAAACCAATATTTAACTTGAAACAAAATTGTTCTTCAAAATTAAAAATAGGACCAGGGATGTGGTTCTGTGGTAAAGCAACCCTTAGCTTGCTTTCCAGAGTAATAATAATAATAATAACAATAATAATAATAGTATTTTCAGATAAATACTCAGAAAATTAGTAACCACATGTCTATACTATACAAGATGAAGTTCAAGTGAACCAATTATGTTGATATATACCTGTAGACCCAGATACTTGTGAGTCTGAGATGAGAGATTATTTGAGCCAAGGAGCTTGAGGCCAGCCTGGGTAACATAACAAGATTCCTGTCTGAAACAATAATAATAATAATAATGAATAAAGCTTCAGATTTAAAAGAAAGCATGATGTCTAAACATAAGAATACATTTTTTGTTATTTCCCTGAATGGCAATTTATTCCTTAATTCAAATAATAAAATAATAATTGAAAGGTAGTATTTATAAATAAAATAAAAGTAGGTAGTATTTATAAGGAATAGAAAAGTAAAGTTTATGATAACAAAATCACAAAATAAAGAGAGTGATTAATCAATAAAATTACATTCCCATGAGATTGAAGTATCAATAACATCAATTAGGAGAGAACAAGATCCAATTTATTTTATATGTTCAGTATTGTACTGAAATAAAACCTGATGAGTATTTTATCAAAATAGCAACATAGACCCATTTGTCTGTCTGTCTGTCTGTCTATCTATCTATCTATTTATTAGGGAGATAGATGCAAAAATCTTTAACAAAATATTAGCAAATCAAATCCAGAAATATTGAAAAGGCATGAAAGATAAATATCAAAGATTAGTCTTGGTATTGCAAATGGGTTTAACATTCAAAAATCAGTCAATGCATTTCTATATAGGAATTATCTCAATGAATGTGATCAAGACACTTGATAAAAATGCAATTATAATTTCAAAAGGAATCTCAACAGATCAAGAATAGGAGAAAGTTTACACAATATCATGGTAGACACCTATGAAAAACATATGGTTATCTTCATATGTAGTGGTGAAATACTACGTGCCTTGCTCCTTGGGTTCTAAACAAAGAAAGAATATCAACTGTTATTTTTCCCCTTATGCCCAACATTTTACACTGCAACGTTGAAGGAAGCAAATATATAGATGCCTAAATTTTAGTTTTTTGTTTTCTTGGGTTTTTTGTTTGTTTGTTTGTTTTTTCTGGTACCTGGAATCAAACTCATGACCTTGCAATTGCCAGGCAGGCCCTGTGCCACTGAGCTAAATCCCCAGCCCCTAGATGCCTAAATTTTAAAAATCACAAGAAATCTAAAAAGCAACTACTAGGAATAGTAAAGGGAGAAAACAGTTTCCATGAATATGGAAGAATCAGTTATATTTCTGTCTAGCAGTTTGAAATAATTGCAAAATAAAACAAAATATAACTCAAACCCAGCTACTATAGCAACAAAATACATAAAAATTTTAGGATAGAGATTGACAAATGTGTGCAAGATTTCTACTCTTAATATTACAAATAATGGTCATGTGACTCGAAGACAATCTACAGTACAGAATCATTTGCATTTATGGATTAAGAACAAATACTTGAAGAGGTCAATTCTCTCAAAAATAATCTATTGATAGAGATAATTTCATTTAAAATTACAATAAAGATTTAGCTAAAAAGTAATAAGCTGATCTAAAATCTAATTTAAATCTGCAAATACTATAATGGTCAGAACAATTTTGGAAAAGACAAAGCTGGTGGGCATACATACACTCTTTTCATAGCTCATTATGAAACTATAATAATCAAGACTGCAATATTTGCATAAAAATGATACAGTGGAAAAACTGGAGAATCCAGAAATTATATATGTTCATTTAATTAACATTTTCATAAAGAAGCCAAGGTAACTCAAGGAGAAAAAGAAGTTTTCAACAACTGAAAGAACTATCACTTTAAAAACTGACAGTTACTAATATGCAATATACTTACCCCGTGGTTCTGCATTTCCTGTAAATGTGAGCAGCAAAGAAAACATGTTGTATTTGTTTGTTTTCTTTCCTGCCTCATTTTTCTTTCCCCTTTATTCCTATTATCTGCAATTGTTAATCTTGTCTTTTTTCTTCTGTACCAGGAATCGAACTCAGGACCTCGTGATTGCCAGGCAGGTGCTGTGCCCTTGAGCTACATCCCCGACCCCTTAACCTTGACTGTCAACATGACTGACTTTCAAGTATGCCTTGGAGATTAGCAAAACACACTTCTGGATGTTCTGGGTGGCTCATGGGGGCATGACCTTCAGGGCTGTATCTTGGGCTTGGCCTCTTTCTCTCCGGCTTTGTTGCTCTGTTTCTTGACTGCCAGGAGTTGAGCAGCTTTCCTCTGCCATGCCTTTGCCCCATGATGTTTCCACCTTAGAGCTAGCTAACCATAGACTGAAGCCCCCCAAACTGTGAACCAAAATAAATAGTTCTTCCTTTAACTTGTTTTTCTCAGATATTTTGGTTGCAGAGTCACAAAGTTCATTAATAGACAAAATAGTAAGCAAAAAGTAGAGTTGTTTGCTGGTACTATACCCACTGGTGTGGCCCAGAGCTTTTGGAACTGGTCTGCAGGAGGAATTTGGAAGTTTGGATGAAGGGAGTAGTGAAATCCTTCAATGTTGTAAACAGAGCTTGGTAAACAATTGTCCTTGAGGCTCAGAAGACCGAAATGTTGATAGGAATACAGACAGGGAAAACTGTACTCATGAGGTTTCAGATGAAAATGAATATTCTTGAGAACTGGACTAAAGGTCATGCATGTTACATTCTGCTAAAAACTTTTGTTCATGTCCTGAGATTCTGCAGTAGGCTGAATTTAAAGGTGATGACCTAGTTTGGCTGGTAAAAGAAATTCAAGGCAGAATAGCATTACTTGCTGCTTTTAACCAAATTTATAGTGTGTATCAGAAGAAAATAGCAGGGTGGAAACACCGAAAACCTTGGCATTTGGCCAGAAAAAAAGCATACGTAAATCTGGGGCTAAAGACGCTATGATGGTTGAAGAGATTAGTGCCACTAAAAGAAGCCAAGTACTTTGTACTGGAAGACTAGGAAAGATGACTTGAGGGCAGCTCGGAAGTTAGGAAGATTCCACCAGTCACCCATCACATGCCCAAGGGTGTAAAATCATTACAGTACTTTGAATACTTTGAGAAGAGTGTGATGGTGGCACCATGCTTCCTCAAATTGTGGTAAGCAGTTGTTTTCCTCAGGATTCATTTCTTCAAACTCAGCTGTCCAGAAAGTAAGAGTTTGCTGCAGATGTGGTACAAGGAGACCCGGCTTTTACTTAGGAAGGTGGCAGACCTTGGCACTGTCCACCTGATTCCAGTTTTACATCATACGAAATGGCAGAATTACAGGGGCATGGTGGCTTCCACCCAGAGTTCAGAGAAAGGCCTGAGAAGTCAGGCAATGTAGTTCCTTTCAGGATATCTAAGTAAATTGCATGAAACTATGAGAGTGAGGCTGAAGCCACAGCGGACACTCCAGTAAGTTGGAGATGCCAGAAACATGGAGCATCTGATAAGTAAAACTTCATGCAGTGAACAAACACAGTCTAGGAGAGAGGCTACATGGGATACAATTGGCCAGGCTATACGGTCAGGATTTCCCAAGCCCTGTGGACCTCATATCATTCCACTATGTGCCTGGAATCCTTGACGAGGAACTACAGGTTTCAGTGCTCTGGTCTGACTCTGTTCTAGTCCCTATTCTCCTTTTTTGGTATGGGAATGTTTACCTTGTGTCACTGAGTTTGGGAGTATATAACTTGCTTTTTAAGGTTTACAAAGGCTTACAGCTTAAGAATTTGCCTTGAGTCTCAGAGGAGATTTTAAACTTGGACTAATCATCAATACTGGGAGTGCTAAGACTTTGGGGGAAGGAATTAGTACCTTTTTGAGTGTGCACAGAATAGCTATACCATGTTAGGTGGGCTATGACATTGTTATTGTCTCTATTTGGCGACTAAGAATAATCCAAGAGGCTATGTTGGGCTGTCACGTGGACAAAGAGTGGCCTTGTGATGGTTAATTCTGATTGTTTACTTAATTAGCTCAAGAGAGGCCTAGGAGTTTAGTAAAGTACACTTCTGAATATGTCCAGGAGGGCCATGGTGTCATGCCTTGGTTAGTATTTCTGGTTCTTGGCCCTTCCTCTCTGTCCTTCCCTGCTCATCTGGATTTGAGTAACTTCCTTCTGCCATTCCAATTTGCCATCACACTTCTGCCTTAGAAAGAGCTGACCATGAACTGAAACATCCAAAATTATGAGCCAAAATATATATTCCTCTAAGTTGTTTTCCTTACATATTTTGTCAGAGACAAAACAAAGCAAGACAAAATTAGCTAATACACTACCTTCATACTTTCCAATAAACTGTTAGTGTGTAGCAAGTTTTGCATCAGGTTTTGTTTTCCAATGTATGCAGGCAAAGTTCATTGATATGAGGAGAGGATCCCATTAGCTTATCCTCAGAAAGTATTGGAGTACCTTGGCTACTACATATGGTCCCTTATCCTTTCCACTCTGGTGCTGTTCTCCTTTCTGAATCAATTTTCTCTGCCACTCCTTTCCACCACGATGTCTCTGCCTTAGAGATAGCCAAGCATGGACTGATCACTTGAAATAGTGAGCCAAATTAAACATGTTCTCCTTAAGTTATATACGTCGGGTATTTTGTGCCAGTGATAACACACTGACCAGTACACTTAAATAGAATGATGTGGAGGTAGAAGGAATATCATTTCAAGGTGAATTTATTGGTTTAGAGGCACTATAATTATCATGTTGTAAGAGCTGCAAAAGCAAAGTAAATACAAAGCTGATGAGTCTCTGAAAACAAAGGAAAAGAATGGGTCCCTGAGCCTCAAGAAGAAGATATCTGGAGCTTTGAATTTTCTAAATTCCCTGAATTGTCATAGCCAGTTTATCAGACCTTGCTTTTGCCAGATGAAAATAGCCTAACTTAAAAACCATTTAATGACTGTACTCATAACAGAAGACTTACAATATGACCACTGATATCTTTGGGATTCAGGACAGGAATTCCCCATTGCCTTCAGGACTGATGTTCAGAATCAGCTTTATAACAACCTGAGTATGTAATTTAAAGCTTAAGATCCTTGTTTTGATTTCTTGAAGTCTAGCAATGGTGATGGTTTACAGTAAATGAAGTGGAGACCTTAGACCTTCCATGTAATTTTGCTGAAGAATTTTCAGAAGGCATGGAGAGATGGAAATATTAGGAAGGATTTATTACACAGCACTACCAAGGTATCAAATACCTCACGAAGGCAGAGCATACTACCTCACTGGGGCAAAATGAATGCAGATAAGGACGGCACTGAAATCGTCGAACATCTCAATAGTAGCTACCTTTCCAGTGAAAGATGATGCTGTAGAACTAGGCTTGTGCTTCCCTCATATATGACAGTTTGAAAAGTTACTCGGAAGTTACCCTATCAAATGGCTGCAGGAAATTTTGGAGGAATTTATTGGATAGTATATGCGTGTGAAGTCACGGTTCAAAATTTGCAGCCTCAGTTGTTCGCGGAATTTTCCCTAGAGCCTAACTAAGAATTGTTTGCAGAAAGCCCCGCAATTTCACAGAAATTGCAGATATCTTCAGCAATTGTTTTTTTGGCAAGAGCTTTGTAAGTTGCTAATCTAGAAGCGTTACTCAGTTTTCCTTGCTACTTACTGGCTGTTGCGCTGTAACCCACCTCTGGCAGATGCACCAGCATTCTGTCTTCATAGCAGATTGCTGTACTGTGTAGCTATCTCTTTCACCCTTATTAAAGGTCAAAGACCCCTAAGATGCTGACAAAATGCCCTCAACCTTCCAAGGCTCTACTAATTTAGTATTTTATTCAATTAAATTGCATGACTGAGGGAGACATAGCATGTTTAGGGTTTAAACTATAAAAACAGGCATGTATAGGGACTTTTCTGACCATATCTGAAATTCGCAGTCTTTCACAGTTTGTGATTGCTCTAGGACCATAACCCCTGTGAATTTTGGGGTGCACTGTATAGCTATAATTATCCAGCCTTCCTTTCAATAAATAGAATCTAGGCCTGTGAACAGACCTACATATGAAAGTTGAAAGGACCGCAAGTATTCACTGTGGTAGTTGATATCAGATCTTATTTGACAGACTAACAGAAACAGACTCTTTTCCTTTCTTCAGTGAGAGATGTGGCTGTCAAACAAGGGTACCTAGTAAGTATGAAAAAATGGGATTCTGTATGGTTCAGATCAAGTGGAAATTGTGAAGTGGAAAGTCTGTCTCTCAGTGGGCTCACTGTGTATATATACTATCTTTATGATTAGCTCCATAATAAAAAATCAGGATGAGCACAGTTGTTCTATTAACTTTTCCTTATCATGGGACCTGGATCAGGTGGTACTGGCACACTCAATGGTGAGTGTTTCAGGACAGGAAACTCAAACTTAGGGACCTTGACTAAATTATAATGGTCCGTAAGCTCGCTTGACCTTTGCCTTGGTGGGAGCACCTTTCTTATTCTCAGATAAAAATAAATCTATTTCCTCTGAAAGGAAGTGATAGCTCTATTTTTCAAGGCTGTCTGTGAACATTTTAAAAAATATAGTCTAGAACAATGGAAGTCAGTGCTTTTTCTCACAAGATATAGAAATGTGGGATATCCATTGAAAAGTGTCTCCCAGTACCAGGTGTATTGGCTTTACTGAAGCACACTAACTTATCCAGTGGCATTTGGTCTGCCAGGGGCAAATTATTGATCTCTTCAATGTATAGGATGGTGTTGTCCCTGGGGAAAGCTAGGGCATTTAGCATCATGTCCCTAAAATACTCCTTTCATGTTCTCAAGACATTTGTCAGTACAGGAGACATTAAGCCAGGCATCAGACTACTCAGATAAATATTATCCAAGGGACAATGGGAACTGGGTAAACTAGTGTTATCAGTAAACCTGCTTCCTGCCTTTATACTGAGCAGATTTTTTTGGCAATTCTGGGTATACAATGGAAAAGCCAAATGATACCACTGCTGCGTAGCCTAATCTGTAAGAACCCATTGCTATAATAAGTGAGTATAGAACAAAGCATGGTGGAATGCTATAGTCCAGCTGGTCATCATTGGACACTTTGAGTTCTGTCTGCTGTTTCCCTGGCTCACTAACTGCCCTCAGACATCCTGTAATTTCCCATCCATCTGGTGATTTACTAGTCCAGTTACCACCACTGGACATTCTGGTTCTCTTCTGAAGACTTCTATTCAGCCTGCTGCCCCTGGGAGCTATCCTTTGCTTCTAGCAAGTTTCAGATAACCCTATCTTTTCCTATTAGTATCTTTATAAACCTTAACTTTCACAAGCTGTCTCCAGATTCCTTCTTCTTCACTCAGCAACCTGCTCCAACCTACTCTACTACGAGGTTGTGGATAAAACAAAGATCAAATATAGTTTGCTGTCATGTGCTTGTGTTAACTCTCCTAGTCTCTTGTTTTCACATTCTGAGGACTATGATGTGAGTCTTCTATAGGTAACATCATTCTGATTTGCTTTGTTTCTTAGTCAACTATGTATTAGTATAACAGAATACTTGATACTGTGTAATGCATAATGAAGAGTGATTTATTTGCTCCCGGTTCTGTTCACGAAAATCCAAACAGCCTGATGTCTATCTCGTGAGAACCCTTTTGCTGGCAATATGGCAGAGAAACAGAAAGGAAAATAGCCACATACAGAAGCGACTCATGTACAATATGAAAGGGAGCAATGGAATAGAGAGGGACAGGGTCACTCTTTATAGCAAGCTGCTCTTAGGAGAACAAATCCACCCTTGGAGATCTGACCCACTTCAATAATCTGACTCACTTCTATGATTTGACCCATTCATGAGGGTGGACCTTTAGTATCTAATTACTTTCCAAGAGGACCCTCCTTTAAAGCTTCCACCGCTTCAACATTGCCACACTGGACACCAAACTCCCATCAACTTTTAGGGACAGATCATATTAAAACCAGAATATTCATAAGCAAGAGGTGGTGAGTACCTTCAGTGTTTTAATACTCACCATAAAGATTTAAAACTTAGGATCTGGGGCATACTCAATTATTTCCTCTAAAGCAGATGTTTTCAACCAGAGATGATCTTGTCTCAAAGACATATTCGGCAATGTCTGGAGATTTTCCGATTGTAAAAATTCAAGCAGGGAGTTAATATCAATTAGGTAAAGGGCAGAGAAGCAACTAAGAATCTTAAAATGCACAAAACAGCCAATCTTTCCATAATAAAAAAAATATCCAGCTCCAAACCTCATAGTGTAGAGATTAAGAAACCTTTCCTTGGAAACAATAGATATGGTGCTGGACCTTGCAACTTCTAAGCAACAGAGAGAGATATAGTTCGTGTTGGCATATTAGAATTTCAGAAATAATATTGACACCTGATAATGCTCCTTTGACCTTTTCACTGAATGAATTACAGGTTGCATGTTTTGAATGTGGCCCACCAGAGAGGGTTTTATGTAGGTCCCTACTGTAACACAAGCTGCCCTGACACTTGAGAATTACTCATATAGCCCAGTTACCTTATTTTTGGCCCATTATGGTCCAGATCTGGATGTTCTTCCCAGAGCTACATGTATTTAGAGGTGGACATTTGAAGGTAAATGGGTCATGGAGGTGCTATACTCATTGGTGTACTCGTCCACTGGCGAGTTTAGCGGCTGAGTGTTCTGTTGGAGGTGAGGCCTGATGGGCCGAGGTAGGTCACTGGGTGTGTGAACCAGAAGCCTGTGTCTCCCTCTCTGGTTTTTTTCCTTGTCTCTGTTTCCTGGCAACTATGACTTGAGCAGCTTTCCTCCACTGCAGGCCATTTCACCATGCTGTTTTCTGCATTTGAGCCTGATGAACACAGACTGAACCTTCTGAACCATGAGCCAAAACTAACTTCTTTAAATTGTAGGTCTTGGATATTTTGTCTCAGCGATGGGAAAGTAACTGAGACACGGCTGTAGGACTTGCCTTACCTCAAAGCTGCAGAGGTTCTAGCAATAGCTCTTGCCATTCCTATAGTGATAAAGGCCCAACTATCTCTGCTTGTCCAACCAACAAATATGGAAAAGCCTGTCTGTTATATACTGAGGAAGGTCACTACAAAGGCTTACTGATAGTGTGAAGGTTAGGAGGCTACATTATCCCTACCATATGCTTTGGTGGTAGGAAAGGAAATGATACAGTCTGACAGTGCAAGAGAAGATACCATGGAGCAGGCCAGGGACATATAAGAGATGAGATGGAAGCAACAGAGAATCCCTTGAGCTTCCTACCTACTGGGGATGTTCTGAGGCAGAGAGATTCCTTGTAACCAGTCCAGATTTATCCTGCAGGACTCAGGAATTGACAGTATTTTCATAGTTTCACAGTTTCTGTGGCCAACACAGAAACACATCACACTGCATTGGATATTCCTCCATTGATGCCTCACTTTTCTCTTTCTTTTTGTGCTCCTTTGTACTGTTCAATACAGTATTATGCAAGGCACTGTGGTCCATACCTATAATTCCAGCACTTTTGTGGCTGAGGCAGGACGATTTTGAGTTTAAGGCCAGCTTGGCTACATAGCAAGTCTGAGGCTAACCTGGACTATGTAATAAGATCCTGTCTCAAAAACAAAACAAAACAAGATCACAACAGAACAAACATAAACCAGAATTTGCGTGTGATTTTTTCCCCTTTGGGTTTTTCTCTTTAAAAGGACTCAGGTGAAGAAGCACTGTACCTGAATGTGTAAGGCTCATCCAAATGTGGTTGGTGAGGAAATTATATTGAAGGACTGAAGCTAGAGAGAATCTTCAATGTCACACCAAGGAAAAGAGTACGCTCAAGTTCTGAGAATATACGACTCTGTATTCACACAGAGTGACAGGAACAGGGCTTTGCATCAATAAAGTGATTCAGTACCTGTCCCAGCATTCATTAGCTAATTGAACTGGGGAGCAAATGTTGCTGACTCTTCCTTTTTGCATAATTCCCATGTGTCTCTCTTTCATTTAATTACACAAGTGATAGATTCCTTCCTGCCAGTGAACCATCTCTGCTGTGTGGGGGAGGAGGGGAGAAGGCCTGTTGGAGGTGAATCAGAGTTTCTGTAGGAAATTAGTTCATGAGAAAATGTGCAGCACCCACAAGCATGAAAATTCCCCTTTCTTACCTTTCCCCTCCTTACCAAAAGAGACTGGTGCTCAATAGTTTAAGAATAGCAGGCCTTCTATAACATTACCAATATCAGTGTCTCTGTGGTACTTTAGGCAATTTTTTAAAGTAACAAGGAAATCTGGTTGATTTATCTGGAAACTTTATGTTTCTTATTTACATTTCTGGGGGAATAAAATGAGGGTACCCATAAACTAATTAATCAATTATATACAAATATACAAAATTGTTAAGGTTCAATCGTCATTATGCCTATTTTCTAAGTGTAAAATCAGTGAGCCAATTAAATATATCTCTGATGTGTATTTGAGTTCTTCATGTCTTTGAAGCAATGTACACTTTATGTTGCATGGTCAGTGAAGGAAAAGAAAAACAGTATAAAAATGGGTAGTTTCAAGCAAGTTTCTCTACAGTGGAATTTTGAGGTTAAAATAATAGAAACAAGTTGTATGGGTCAGCATTCCTATGGTTGGTGAAAATTATCCAACACCCTAAACTACAGGAGGAGAGTTTTACGTGATTCATGGTTTCAGAGCATTTAGTCCATGGTCAGTTGGCTCCAAGGCAGGAATATAGCAGAAGTTCTTGAAATGACTCAACTCTTTCATTCAAGTCATCCTAGAAACAGAACAGAGGAACAGCAGCAGCGAGAAAGAGACCAGGGTCTGTGTACAGTACCCATGGTCATACCTGCATTATGTACCCAGACATACCAAGAAGTACTACTTCTCTGGGTGGCTCCCAATCCAATCCAGTTGATGATTAAACTTAACCATCACATGAGTATTGTGTTGAGAGAGAGCAATATTTTGAGTTGTTAGTACAGAGAAAGAAGAATATATAGGCAGGCACAGGAATGGCTATGAAAGGTTGCCCTTTCGTAAAAGAGGTTTATATCTACAAAGAAAATTTGCATTAGTAAACAGCTAGGGGATATAAAGAGGTTTTTCTATTTTCTATTTTCCTTTGTGTCTAGGAGAGCTCCTTTTACAAGAAGAGATTTGGGGCTGGATACCTGGCCCTGTCAGAGATGACCACAAGGAGCTGTTTCCTGGGAGACTCTGTGTGCATAACAAGCCAGCCCTTGTTTGCTGTATACCTGCTTCCTTCAGCCTTCCACAGTTTGCAACAACTCCTTCACCCTTAAATGTCCAAGCTCCAATCCCTCGGTTTCTTTCTATACAAGTGTCAAGCATTTAAGGAGCTTTTGTGTCTCATACTGTGTACATGCAGCTTCCACATTTAGGCATATCAGTCCATTTGTTGTTCTTTTTTTTCTCCTGCCAGTTTGTTTATAGACTAAAGTTGTTAAAAATTCAGAAAAGAATAAATTTAAAATTGTCCCTCATACTCATGTTGTATTAGAAGTTTCTTAAATTTCTCTTTGTAGAATTGCACCTACAGACAAGGATTCAAGAAATTATTCAGAAGCAAAAAGAATGCAGAAAGGAGCAGTGCACATGGGAAAGGAAGAAAGCCATCTATTTCCCTCTGTGACAACTGGAGCATAATTCCTCTAGGGCACTCAAGGCCACAGTGAACAACATACTTCAGAGTTGCCCCAGTCAAGGTTGAGGCCGCTTACATATCTATTTTTTAAGTCCTCGTCTTTCATTGGATGAAGGGTGCTCTGCTAAATTTCCTTTTAAAGCCATCAGCAAAGTCTCAGTTCGATGGTGCATGCTTCCCTGGTGAGGGTCTGGTACAAAGCTCAACCTAAACAAGTGTACTTCTTCCTATTCTTGGTCTGGTCACAAAGAAAACTAACCTCAAGGGACATGAATGTGGGTCAAAATCATACAGTACTCAATAGACAACTATAAAGGCTCTGTCAGCCTGAGATGTTAAGAGCACTGCAAGAGGAGGACAAAGACAGAGAAATCAACACTCAACAAATGTCATAATACATGCACATCACAGATTGAATTTAGATGTTCTGAATCTTAATGATGGGATCCTTCCTATATGAATTACAGGTTTTTTTCCTTAAGTAATTTTATCTACCTCTTAACATATAGTGAGTGATGGTTGTATGACCAGGAGGAAACAGATACTTAAGAACTGACTGTAAATTTTTTAAAAGTAATGTATTCCTCAGTAGTACTGCCCCAATTTTTACCCATAATTCTCCCTTCCCAGAGGGAATATATGTTCAGGGGATGTACAGGATACCTGATAGAAACATCTCATACCAATGCTGTAAGTGACGGAAAGATATCCCTTGTTCATGGATAGGAAGAACCAGTATAATGAAAATAGCCATACTCCCAAAATTGCTGTGCAGATTTAATCCAGTGCTATAAGTGGAGCTGCACTTCACCAGCCAGCAAAATGGACTGCTTTTACATCTTTAACCTCCCAAGGAGTCCTTTCCTCTCAACCCTCACCTCTTAGCAGAATGCTCACAAGTGCCAATAAATGTGAGTTCATCCTGTGTTACTAGTTAATAGATTTACAAACAGCTGAACAGTTGAAAAGCCATACCCAGGCAGGAGTTATAAATTATACAAGTCAGGATAAAAGCTCCATAAATATTGATCCTACTTAATGGTTTTGGTCATAGGAAGAATTCTCACTGTGGTAATATCAATTTCTCCCCAAAGCATTGCTTTGAAACAGGGGTTCTGCATTATTGCCAAGAACTTACCTAAATAAAATTAACCTGGATTGTTGAATATATATTTTTGTCTAGGATTAAATATACTGATAACACTGTAGGTTTTTCACAGTGAAGCCTTGAAAAATACTGTGATAGAAAAGTGAAATTTCTGAGCACAACTGTATCCACTGTACTGTTTTCCCTTTAAACTTTCAAGCCTAGAATGAGACATATTCTTCCATTCGACTAAGGTTTATATATATTCCCAAATCTATTTGGAAAACCAAAAATATGGCCAATATCCACCTAGAGAAGAGTTAACAAAATGGAATGCACACAAAAATAGGTTTAGCCAGGTATGGTGGTGCACCCTTGTAATCTTAGCACTTAGAAAGCTGAAGCAGGAGGGTCACTGTGAGTGAGTTCCAGGCAGTCTGGGCTACATAGCGAGACTCTATGTAAAAAAAATAGATTTAGAGAAGAGAGGTAAAAGAGTACTTAGACAAAATTAAACAAAGCTGTGACTTTCTTCTTGTAACTGAATTCACGAAGTTTTTGCAAGGCCACCATGGTTCCTTCATTGTGCTAGGTATTATGTTGGGTATTAAAATTTATAATAAACTCGAATTACTTTTTCTAAAAAGTAATGAATATACATGCTTCAACTAGAGAATAACAGGTGATAAGAAAGAGTTCATTAGAACATTGCCGCAGGACATTCAATGTGGAAGGACCTCAGGTAGAGTTAACCACGCAAGAATCCAAAGCCCAAAGCTTAGAAGACCCAAAGTCATATGAATGAAGTGGAATGTGTTATTGATTTTCCATAGTAGGTGACCAAAGAACGTTTAATCTGCTGGATGACCATGTTAATATTTTTTAAGCACATTACCACAATGGATATAGTTCCCTTAGCATTAATTTTTTTAATAAATAGATATACTTAAATTAGCTTAATCAATAATCAGATGTTATTTACTTTAAACAGCATTTATAATTGCTTATTTTGTGCCTGGTGCTATGTTAAATATTTTACATCAATTTTCTCAACTAAACCCCAGACTACAAGGCATGTAGTACAAGAAAAATGAATAATTATTATCTTTGTTCTAAAGCAACTCACAATGTACAGGGAGACCCACACATTGATTTAATTACTAGTAGAATGCAACAATAAGTCAAGGGTATGTTAGGACACAAAAATATTAAAGATGAAGCAATTAATTCTGCCCCAAAGAGATCAGGGAATTTCTTTTTCCACTGGAAAATATGACTTTGAATCTCTGATTTGGACAGTAAAGCATTTTCCTGGTGGAGTGAATGAAGTAAAAATATCTTCTCAACAAGGGGAATAGTGTGAATAGAAGAATGGCCTCTTGAAATCAAACTTTTTTCCCCACTGTACAATGCCTCAAGGTCGAAGCAAGTTCAGGAAAAGAGAAAAGTGAAAGCCTACTTTAAGGTCAGAGAAGAGCAAACAAAACTTCAGCAAAGTTTCAAATAAAACCAGAAAGTCACCAAGCATGGCTGTATTACTCTATGAGTCAGACCCCTTTCAAGGACAAAGCTTTTAGATTAATGCACAATCCAAATCCAAAGGACACACAGAAGGAGAAGAGCCACAGGTGTTACAGGGAAACTTTTCATTTGAAGACATTCACATAGAAAACCAGGCTCCTTCCAAAAGGACCCTGAATTCAGTCCCCAAGTGAATGTGCAAGAGGGATGCCACTTTCCTTTGGGCCGACTCAGCTTCAACACTCTTACTCTTCATAGACTGGATTATTTTCCAAGCACAACAGACGTCATCAGAGTTTATGGACTAATTGATGCAGACAGGAAGTTATGTACATATTTATTTTTACTTTTTCCCAGAAACTCGCTTTCTAATTTTTATCAGTACACATCTGTACTACATAATGCTTACATTCATTATGAAGAGTTGGTACATGTACATAACACATTTTAATTCTGTCTTACATCCCCTTCCCATCTCTATCCCCTTCATCTCTTGGTCCCCATCCCTTTTGCACAAGATCTATCTCCCTGTTTCCTATTATCTGCCTTTTATTTTGCTCTTTACCATATGTACACTTTGAGTTTTCTCATATAAGGGAAATCATTTGATATTTAAGCTCATGTAGCTGCTTTATTTTATCGAACATTATATCCTCAAGACGCATCCATCTTCTTACAAATGACCAAATACATCCTTTTTCACAGAGGAATAGTACTTGATTTTATGTCACTACTACATTTTCTTTATCCATTCATCTGTTAATGAACATTGCTTCTAAGATTTAGCTATTATGAATTATGCTAGTGTAAACATGAATAGGATTGTGTCAATATAATATGATGCCTTTAACTTTTTTCAGAGTTATCTAGACGTGAACTAGCTGGGTTGAATGGAATTTGGGGTCTAGAATTTATCCATATCGGTTTCCATAGTGGTTGTGCTAATTTACATTCCCATCAACAATGTCGAACAGTTCCTTCTTCCCTCGAAGCCTCCCCAACAATTGTTGCTACCTAATTTCTTGATTTCGAGATGGAATCTTGCTATTGTTTTAATTTGTCCTTCTCTAATGACCAGTGATGCTGAACATTCTTTTCATATATTGTCATTTGTCTTTCTTCTTCTGAGAAGTATGTATGCACTTCAGTTGCTCATTTTTTGATGGGGCCTTTTATTTTGGGGGGGGAATCTAACTTTTTACCATCTTTATATATTCTAGTTATTAGTCCTCCATTCAAAGTGTAGCTGGCAAAACTTTTTTCTCATTCTGTACATTGTCTCTTCTCTCTCCTGATTGTTTCCTTTGTGGTGGGGAAGCTTTTTAATTTGATGTAAACCCATCTGTTGATTCGTAATGTTATTTCTTGTGTAACTGGGGTATACACATATTTTTAGTTAACACTTCTTATGAGTCATCAAAGTCATGCTTGGTTTCCCTCCCCAATAATTCAATGCTAGCTGTTTCCTCCACTTAAGTGAATAACAAACATGCATGCTGGGCCTTTTCTTCCCTTGTCTTTTTTCCCCCATACCGTGTGACTCTGGATTTGACTGTATCAGCCCTGCTGGTTTTAGAGACATTTACCCTCTCCTTTCCTGGAATAACCTTATTTGGTGTCTAGAGTAGGCAGGAAACTTCTTCCATTTAGCGAGTGAAGTTTGAGAGAATTAAACTAAACAGAACCTGTCAGAACCACGACTAGCCTCATTCTTTTCCTCTATTAATTTGTTTCATCATTATATATTTCTGGTGGACTCATATGGGCCAGGAATTCTGGCTGATGGACATAGATACAGTTATGAACAGGGCAAGTATAGACCATGGCATATTGAATCTTACAGTGCAATGGAAGTAGGCACTGTGCAAAATACACATGGATAGATGGATAGATGATTTAGAGTTGGGACATGAGCTATTCAGGCAATGTGTACAATAGAGTGAGAAGGTATGACAGGACATCCACTTAGTCTAAAGGAGATTTTAATAGAGGTGACAACTTTGAGGCAGGGTAAAAGCAATAGGTGAAAAAGAGAAAAAGAGACAAGGAATTCAAAACTACAAATTCTGTTTTTAAGACCATAACTTATGGGATCCAAGGTGATCTCTACCAGCATTCCCTTGGATAAACTCACAGGCTTTTCCTTCCAGACCCATCACACTCCAAATTTCTCAGAAATACTGTAAATTCATGAATTGGCTTAATTGAGAAAGTAAAGATTTTA